CCTAAGAGGCATTGACTGCTTCGGACCAAAAGTGAAAAAATACGCCTGATCTAAAAGAGGTACGCAACTGAATTTAGAACCTTGTATCAGGCGACGAGGCTTCCGTCTATCCAAGCGTCCTTATAAGTCTAGTAGTGTCATCCGAACAAACTCTGTTCGCTCTGGACGCGTTCTGATGGCGCGTTAAAGCTAGTGCAGGGAACGATCACACAAACGGTACTTACCAATCAGTTTAAAAACCAAGGCTAACGGACCTCCGAGGCGGATGTACTCTGGGCAAAAAACTTTAGAGCCGTCCTGTTCTTGCCGCGGCGGTTTCGAAGGCTCTTTCCGTTCCGCCGCCGCTCCGCGCGTCCAAAAAAGGAGAGGGTTGCCCGAACGCCTTTTTCGCTTTTACGAAACTTTTTACCCTTTGCTGAGTAACACCAAAATAAAAAAAAAAAAATGGGGAGGCACGGACTACTTCGAGAGGTTACCGGACGCCGTTTTAAAGCAACAAACACAAACACAGTGAAAAAAAAATGCAGCCGGGGAGGTAGATTGTAAAAAAGTATTAACAAGGTGTTTACAAATAAGTAGTACTTAAATTATAGAAATATATAAAACACTATGATAAAATGAAACGTCGCGCGAATGCGCAAAAGTTATGGAAATTATATGAAAATCGTATAAGTAATGGTCGCGTTCGGACACTGTTATACCCTTGTCACACATACTTATACCGATTTCTATATATTTCAATACTTTTGCCATTCCGTCAACGTTCATATTCATAGTTTATTATATGCTATTCAATTAAAAGTACTTACTTATTTGTAACACCTTCTTTTAATAACTTTTTGTACAAAATTACCTCCCCCGCTGCATTTTGGACTGTGTTTTTGTTGTTCGCTTTAACCCGGCCTCGGTTAACCTCTCGAAGTTTAGTCGTCGGTGTTCCCATTTGGTGGTTTACTCAAAGGGCAAAGGTAGTTCGTTACAAAGCCGAGGCGTCGGGCACCTCCTTCCTTGAACGCGCGGCCGGAGCGGCGCGGAACGAAGAAGTTCGAACGTCCCGCAGGAAACAAGGCGACCCCGCTCTTAAAGTTGCAGAGTAACATCCGCTCGGGAGCGCTCGGTTCAGCCGTGTTCTTACTGATTGGTTAGTACCGTTGTGTGATCGTTCTGTCAACTAAAGCTCCTTTAACGCGTCCAAGACGCCGTCCGCAAGAGCGAACCAGACGTTGTTCCGGATGACACAAACTAGCTATAGGACCTTGGATAGGCGAAAAGCCTCGTCGTCTGGATCAACCGGTTCTATTCAGTCGGTACCTCTAGATCAGGGATTTTGGGAGATTGCTGGTCGAAGCATCATGGCCTTTAGGGTCTTCAATAGAACGATTTGCTTTTAGGAAGAAGCATCATATGGGGGGACCAAACGGCAAGTCGTATGCAATGGTACTTCTAGATGGGGCCATTCTTCTCTTAGTCGCAGCATCCTGGCCTTTGGGTCTCAAATGGAACTTCAATGGAGCGATTCGCTTTTAGCCCGAAGCATCATGTCCGGAGACCGGACGTGAACTAAGTAACAAAAAATTGGACGTTTATGGAGGTTTTTGCAAAAGAAAACTTACTACGAACTGTTTTTTTGAGGTGTGTGACTTTTACATTTGCAACCGAAATCCTCGTCGAGACGAAGACTCTTACAGACTTCGTAAAGTTTTAGGATTGTAACAAGACATTCTTTTTTCTTTTGGTAGTTAGATATCAAATACAGTCATTTTACCTGAGTGGGAGTTTATCAACCAATAAACGGAATAACGTTATTGGTTGACCACGGTATACAGTAACAAAGGATGAAAAAAGTATATCATACAAAAGTGACCATCGTCGTGTGTCAATGGCCACGGAGAGACGGGACCAGCCGGAGGTCTAACGACGAACTACCGACGGACTATCGCTCAACTAACTGACTGATCGACAAGAGAACTCTCCGCAGACTCATCTCTGAGACTGACCGTCCAGTTAGTCGGGGGGCCGGGGGGGTGACACCAATAGTTAATAGGCGGGATACACTTCTCTTTGTCAGGAGAGTAAGGACGAGACTGTGTAGGACTGGAAATGTGTGAGATGTCGGCGACAGTCGTGAACGTGTGTATTGGAAATTTTAACGACGATATAGGAGCTCTTTTACTGTGATTTAGTAGAAATTCGGTGGTAATTTTCATTAACTAACGATCACTATAGTCTTCTGTTCTGTTACCGGGAATTCCACAGTTCTAAATTTTCATCCCGACTTGCTAAACTATTGACGCTAATAAAACTGATTGTAACGTTTACGCTAGTGATACCCTCTAAAGACCAGCTTCGTAGTACCGGAAATCCCAGAAGTTATCTTGCTAAACGAAAATCCTTCTTCGTAGTATACCCCCCTGGTTTGCCGTTCAGCATACGTTACCATGAAGATCTACCCCGGTAAGAAGAGAATCAGCGTCGTAGGACCGGAAACCCAGAGTTTACCTTGAAGTTACCTCGCTAAGCGAAAATCGGGCTTCGTAGTACAGGCCTCTGGCCTGCACTTGATTCATTGTTTTTTAACCTGCAAATACCTCCAAAAACGTTTTCTTTTGAATGATGCTTGACAAAAAAACTCCACACACTGAAAATGTAAACGTTGGCTTTAGGAGCAGCTCTGCTTCTGAGAATGTCTGAAGCATTTCAAAATCCTAACATTGTTCTGTAAGAAAAAAGAAAACCATCAATCTATAGTTTATGTCAGTAAAATGGACTCACCCTCAAATAGTTGGTTATTTGCCTTATTGCAATAACCAACTGGTGCCATATGTCATTGTTTCCTACTTTTTTCATATAGTATGTTTTCACTGGTAGCAGCACACAGTTACCGGTGCCTCTCTGCCCTGGTCGGCCTCCAGATTGCTGCTTGATGGCTGCCTGATAGCGAGTTGATTGACTGACTAGCTGTTCTCTTGAGAGGCGTCTGAGTAGAGACTCTGACTGGCAGGTCAATCAGCCCCCCGGCCCCCCCACTGTGGTTATCAATTATCCGCCCTATGTGAAGAGAAACAGTCCTCTCATTCCTGCTCTGACACATCCTGACCTTTACACACTCTACAGCCGCTGTCAGCACTTGCACACATAACCTTTAAAATTGCTGCTATATCCTCGAGAAAATGACACTAAATCATCTTTAAGCCACCATTAAAAGTAATTGATTGCTAGTGATATCAGAAGACAAGACAATGGCCCTTAAGGTGTCAAGATTTAAAAGTAGGGCTGAACGATTTGATAACTGCGATTATTTTGACTAACATTGCAAATGCGATCACTATATATTGTACGGCCCTAAATAAGAGATAGACTTTAGTTTTAAACATATATCTGTAAGGATGTTGGTGAGATGAAGGATTTGTTACAGACATTTGGATTAGTTGACAATCTGACATGCCGTCGCTCACTTTTTTCACCCTTTGTGTTTCACTTTTAGCTCATGGTGGGTATCATCCAGGCTGCCGAGCTGCCTGCTATGGACATGGGTGGAACATCTGACCCATACGTAAAGGTCTACCTGCTACCGGACAAGAAGAAGAAGTTTGAGACCAAAGTCCACAGGAAGACCCTCAACCCTACCTTCAATGAGCAGTTCATCTTCAAGGTACATCTTCACTTGCTTCTCCCTGCTGCTCGAAAAGCTTTGCTCATTTCAAGTCACTTTGTTGTAGCTGGAGATCTTTTGGTTCCACTGACAATCTGATTTGCATGCAGCCGTGACTGCTGGGAAGGTGTGGAGACAGTAACCAGCTGGCACATTAACACGCTCCTGACAGAATATCTCTCACACACACAGTTGCACACACACACACACGCTGAGGCTCAGTGTGATTGGGATTAACACAGGCAGATGCACCGCTACACCCTGGCCCTGCCTCGGCCATAATAGATGCATGGCTGTCGCTCAGCTGTGGAAAAAGTTTTGTTATTCAGCCAACGGTGAAGAGCGCAGGTGTTTGGTGTTAGGTTAAGCATATTGTGATTTGATATCCATCTCAATACAAGGCTTATTTTTGTACATATTTTTCATAATGCTTGATTCCGAATGTGTGGCGGAGAAAAACAGGGAGTCTTATCTCTCCCGCTCTCTCTATTCTTGTGTCGTATCAAGTCATTTCCATTTAATACCTTTCGTCCCAAAATTGAAGAAAAATCATGGATCAAAAGTCCCCACCTGTGTGTTAGCCAACCCAGGTTGCAAGCCTGATAACGGTGGCCTTTCGGTGGCCTTTCGGTGGGGGGGCTGGAGGAGTAGTGATTGGTTTGGAAACAGCTAAAATGTCACCATCCACCCACACACACCTGACTCTGATTGGCATTTAATTCTGTGTTGGACTAAGTGTATGGAATTGAATGTTTATTTGAAGTCTGTATACAACAGAACTTATGATATTATCATGTCCTAAATAACAATGCAACAAATCAAGGCTTCTCCTACTGTCAACAAAAAATGGACATAATAAGCTTTACAAATGTTAGAGTATTGAGAATGGATTGCATTACATCCCACATGTGTTCCTGGTACGTCAGGATCATTTTTTGATTTGTTGAATTATAAATAAATAATGGCTGAGGTTAAAGAAACAAATTATGGATATACATGTACTGTTTTCTATGTCCTCGTAACTGGTTGCTAGAACTTGATATGTTAGCCTAGCCTGCTAACTTAAAACGTTGACGTTGAATTAGTGGAATTGTTACCGACAGTAAAAGCACTTCTTATTTAGTCAATCATCATTTCATGTCGTGTTTAATGTTTTATTGTTCTATTCTCAGAGCGCCTCTTTAATCCAACTTTTCAACGATTAGCGCTCCTTTACAAACATGACACTGTAAATGATAATGTGAGGCGGTTTGTCTGCTTTTAGCCCATTTTGATCAGTTTCTGTTGTTATCATCTTTAGGTTCCCTATGTGGAGCTCGGTGGAAAAACACTGATAATGACGGTGTACGACTTCGACCGCTTCTCTAAACACGATGCCATCGGCGACATCAAGGTGCCCATGAACAAAGTGGACTTCAGCCACGTAACAGAGGAATGGCGGGATCTGATGAGTGCTGAGAAGGAAGAGGTAAGACTTCTCTGGGCTGACACATGCCAAAAGTTCAATCAACACCAAAGAAATGGAAAATGAGTAGGTTTGAAATCATTTTGTGACACCTGTCTCTTTGTCAAGGCTCAGATTTGGCAGCAGCTGCTTCATTATTAAGACATTTTAGTATTGGTGCTTGCATTAGTGATATCCCAATGATTACTTTTGCTTTGTTGAGCAAGCCAATTATGCTCGAACAACAAATGTGATGCCTGAAGTACTCCATCTCTCCTTGAAATGTCACTTAATCAGATGTCCACACTTCCCCTTCAATTAATAGAAGTGTGACTTTCCAGGCAGCAGTTCAGGAGATTCAATTTTCATGGTAAATGTCATGGCATATAGCACATGTTGCCAGGGAAACCTATTTTTTAGCATTACGGTGGTTAGATTTAAAGGTTAATTATAGCGGTGTCGAATGGCTGCTGGTGTTGTTTGAGTTGAAGGGCATCAGTATACTTCTTTCGTCGATTGTACAGCTGCACCTGATGATTCTACTCACGGCTTGACACACAGGAGTGATGCTTTGCCGTGGTAAAGCTAAGTGGAGGGGAGAAGCAGAACAAAATGTTGCCTTCCACCTTCAAAAACATTGAAGCTTTCATTGTTACATTCATAAATCTTATCACAATGTGGCTCCGAACAGTAATTATGACTGCATACAAGTGATGAAAAATCCATCTCTCCTCTAGCTTTTATGCCACATTGTAAAAATCTGTTAATTAACCTGCCGCAGTCAAAATAACTCTTTTGTCTCGGCAGCGCTAGCTGTTGATGACTCAATTTAAAAGCACTTTATTTCCAATAGTTAAAAAGAAAACTTCACAACTAATAGCCTCACTTTAAAATCACAACTTGTCATTTTTACTTTTGTGTTTGTGCAGCCAGGGTGTGTTGGTAAAAGCCGGCTTTGTATAAAACCTAAATCCCAGCTGTGCAGGAACCAATGTGTTTTCAACTGAACGGTAAGGCCGAAGTGCTGAAGGATGAGAACATATTATTAATGGGATATGGGGAAAAAAACATCATACATGTATGAATGGGCATTTTATTGCTTTATTCAAAAGTTAAGAGAATAGAAGTGACAAGAAATGAGGAGAGACTTAGATTGGATTTAATAAACTGCTGACGTTGTTGCTATATAAGGTCATACCTTTTAACAGAAATACATACCTCTGCTCTTCCTTTTCTTCTTTTCTGTGAAAGACTGGATACTCTTACCTCATCGGGCCTCTTTTTATATTTAAATATTCAAAGAAAACAGTCTGAGGAGAGAAATCACTCTCCTACTTAGCTGTTCACAACCCCTTGAATATGTGAAACATGTCATTCAGGAGTCAAAGGTTTTTCTTTAAATATTCAAAGAAAATAAAGCATTGAGAAAGCATATCAGTCCAAACGCACAAAGAAAGAGAAGTTCTTTCAGGTTTAAATCTCTTAACAGTGAGCTCAGTGGAGATTTAATACACCAAGGTGTCACAATTCTCTTTATCTTTAAGGTCAAATATGAAGTAAAAAGCTTTAGAAATGCCCTTTGATTTGAAAAGGCAGCAGTTGGCCTTTTACAGTTCATTGTAAACATTAAAAAGCTGTAATCACTCATTGGCCACTACCTCTCTCGCTGGCCTCCAGTGGAGCATGAATCAGTTTTGATTAAAAGCTAATGCATTTATTTATTGGTTTTTGTTGTGCAACTACTACAATATCTAGGGGGGTCTATAATGTTAAAAACCACACTCTCTGCAACCATTATCAGCACACTCATTGTGCATGATTAGAACTCGATAAAAGACTCCTGGAATAAAACAAAGTGTGATAATCAAGTCCAATTTGACTCTGATTTATCATTTCCAATGAAAGTGACCACATGTGTTACCTGAGAGAGAGTTGTGTGTGCTTGTCGTGTTGATAAGAGAGATGGTGAGAATCTGAATGGCTCTCTGTTCAGCCTGTGATAATGAGGCTGTGTTTGTGATGGTAGTTTGTTTGAACAAGTGAAGTGATTGCAGTTTTTCCAGCAAAAATAATGAGCGGCAAAGAAGAGTGAGAGCCGATATTAGAAAGCATTCAAAGCAAAGCGAGAAACCAAATCCAAAGCAGAAGATTGAAAACATGCAGGGACTTCTCGTACAATGGATCGGCTGCGACTATGACTCAGAGCCGCAGTGTGACTTGAAGCCTTGCATTTGACATACTGTGTATTTTTGTACACTTCTTAAAGGTTTTGATGTGAGTATGGCATAACCTAAATGTATAACACTTTGCCTTTTCTTCCTTTTGGATTGATATTGGTGCATAATGATGAATGTCTTGATTGTTAATGCTTCTTCATTCAAAGACTGATTGCAGTCCACTGATTGCCATTCATACTGTATACCACAGATAAGAGTTATAAGAAAACATGAATGTATAATAAATCAAATCCATATATAAGATGCATTATTAGAGTCTAGTGTTGTCTACATTATATTATAACAAGAGAGTATATATAATGTAGTGTGTTGTGTTTTATTTGTATCATGATATACAGTAAATCGTAAATTGTTCCTGTCCTAAAGGTATTTTACTTTTTTTTTTTGAGGTTGCCATCAAATGAATCATTTGATATTATCAACCTGCTAAAATGATTAAATGGCAGTAGGAGTAATAGTGTGTTTGTTGTTTTTGTTATTTGTCTCAATTGTTTTAATTATTTTTCCATTTATTCAATAAGACAGCGGACATCTGGCTCAAATGATTATAGATAACCTTGTTTACAGCTTATCCTGCAGACCATTTCAAATATAGAGAAATGTTGTGTATGCATATTTGCCTCCAAACTAAATTGTTTTCTATTCATCTTTTTCATCTGTATTGCAGACTTATTATATCCTCGAATGAAAATGTGTGTTTCTAGCAGTTTTGAACTAACCACCAAAAGATGTGTTGATCTTTCAGCACTCTGCATAGAAATGTATGCACTTATAGTAACTACAAAAACATCTATCTTATGTGAATGATATGCATATGTGCACCCTTATACAAGTAAACACTGTAATGTATGTAAACAACTCTACAACCCACTGTCAATGTACTCTGGTTTAACCGTTAATATCTTTACTTTTTTTTAAAACACACTATCAGCTCATTAAAAGTAATCCTTCTGATTCACGTTAATATCGGCACATCCAGTTTGTTGAACAGAGCTTCAGGTTTGGTTCATTGAACAATTTCTAACGTGCTTTTGATGGGAATTTAGGAGCTATTTCTATCTCACCTCGCCTCTCAGTGATGCAGTAAATGTGGATTCAGTACTTCCTGTGTAAACAACAGTCCTCTCCTCTGCCTGTCCAACAGCAAGAGAAGCTGGGAGATATCTGCTTCTCTCTGCGGTACGTCCCCACTGCTGGCAAGTTGACTGTGGTCGTCCTGGAGGCCAAAAACCTGAAGAAAATGGATGTGGGAGGCTTGTCAGGTGAGAACAATTAGCATAGCCTGTGTGATTGCACACTGACGTTCCCTCTGACAGGTCTTTTGTCTCTAATTATACATGCACTGCGGCTCTCTCCTACAAGGTTATTTTTTTAACAACCGCCCTAACACATCACTGGTCACGATTAAAAATGTCAAAGAAAAAGACATGGCCTAAAATGTTTCTACAAAAGTCCAGATGGTGAAGAAAGTGTAATAAAGGTTGTGTAAAAGCAACACATACCACCCAGCAATGGTAGAAAGTACATTTACTCAAGTACTGCATTTAAGTACAGATTTGAGGTACCTGTACTTTCAGTATTTTCCTTCCACTACTACAGTACAGTACTACTACATTTCTGAAGGTAATATTCTGCTTTTAACTTTTCTATATTTTTCTGACAACATAGGTGTTTTAGAAATTAATATTTGGATTCAAATCATTTCCTACTATTTTCAGATTCTTTACAAAATATATAATAAATCAATTATTTCAAAAAATATAAAGTACATCTATCCAAAACAAAAAATAATCATTAGTTGCTGTAATTTAAGTAATTTAATGACATAGTTTGCATTGCACACTTTTACTTTTAATACTTTAAGTACGTTTTCCTAATAATACTTAGATTCCTTTCAAATGTAATGCAGGACTTTAACTTGTAAGAGTATTTGTGTTGTTTATGTTTTTGTATTTAATGTAAAGAATCTGAATACTTCCTCCATCACTGGGAAACACTAATGATGAGAGCATAAGGAAGACAAGGTGTTGAGTAAAGAATGGACCCAGAAGAAAAAATAATCCTATTCCTTCTGTGGCGTTCCTCCAACCGTGCGACCATGCAGCATTAGGATCAATAGCTGACATTTATCTCAATACAGTCAGGTCTGAATACCGGTCTGATGTCATGGTAACTGAATGTGCCGCAGATGACAGCACAAACAACATGGAGTCAGTTTCCTTCAAAGATGGTCTGTTGATTCATTAAGGGATAAGAACTTGGTAAATCACTGGTAGGATGAGCACAAATTCACAGTTGAAGTCTTGTACCTTGTTTTTAACATTTTACCGTGGGGTGCAAAAGAAGGATTCTCCTTTTTTACCACATGAAGAGGTGAAAACGGTGCATATTACTCTGGATTGTTGAAACCACACCTGGTAAAAAGTTACATTTTGCCCTAATCTTTGTTCTACTTTCCCTATGTCTATATCTTTTGTAATTGTATGTTCTATATTATTGAATTGTATGATCTTTTTTTCTAAGTCACTTATACTTCATAACTGTCACCCACTTTAATAAAGCATTATAATACCACTATAATGCCATATAATGTGATCAAGTAAGTAAGTTACTCTAAATAGGTGCTCTGTAGCAATATAATTAGGAAGGAAGATATCATACCTGCAATTATAAAGAATTAAGATACTTGATGTTATAAAATCAAATAAAATGTATTTTGATGTGTTGTTATGATTATGATTGTTGTTATAAAGCGTTATGAAATGTTTGAAGGACATCTCACCACTCTTAGAACATACTATAAGCAGATTTTAATGTGTTCATAATGCATTTTAGACAGGGAAAGTGTTAGCATTGTTATAGCTCTAAAACATAAATACATTTCATTTGACGATACATGAATAATCAGACACTCTCCCACAGACACCAAGAGCCCTACATGCACACACTCAGAAAGACAAATGCAAAATCACGCAATGACCCCCCCTCCTCTCCATCCTGACTTTCCTTGGACTTTCTTGAGTGGTTTCATTTTAAAATTCCCCGGTGTGCACTTCCCCCGCCTTCACTCTTTCTGTTGCAATCACCATACACCTGGGTCCAATTCTTCCTGCCTGACAGCCCAGTCCCTCTATATAAGCCCAAACGTCATGCTGTACAGTAACACCTCGCACATTAAAAGCTCACAGCTCCCTTTCATCTACTAGACCAGTGCCAAGCAGCCACCCTCCTGTAAAAAATAAACCTTCCTCGGCTGCCATTTTATGCTACTGGCATTAGCTCATCTGCGCTCATTTGCATCATGGGATTTTCAGTCATATCGCCTAGCCAATATAAAAGGTGTTAATGTGTTCACTTGGAAGGCAAGCTTCCTCTCAAACAGACACGGGAAATAGCAGAGAACCCAGACAGTTTGACAGATACTGTATGTAACATTTAATTAGATTTTTTTGTATCTGTGATTACAGGGTGAATTTTTAACATACGGTTGTAATACAATACATGTTTTTAATTACACACATCCAGAATATACTCTGAATTACAGTTTGTGTTTTGATTTTCCTGAGTTGCAACTGCTTCCCTGCTCCGAGAATGGACTTAAAAGTGGAGCAGATGGATGAAATAATGGGCAGGTCTGTAATAACAATAATTAGCCTCCATCCACATGGCGTCTTAAGGAGGAGGACATGTAATTGATGGCCTGGGATCAGCCTTCTCCTCTATTGTTATCCTGTTTACCATGCCTAATTATGGCTCGCAGAGGAAGATGTGGGTATTATCATTAACCAATGTATAATCAGAAATAATTCTTTTGATTGGCTCCTCATGAAACATCCCTCCAAATCTTCCTCCATGCTGCGTCTCTCACAAAAACAGACTTTGTTCATTTTAGTTGAAAAAGTACAGTTGATTTTTTTGTTTGGTGCTGTTGTTAATTGATGCGCCGAGCAGCTGTTTAGCTGTCGTCTCAAAATAATCCCAGCCTCATTGCAGACAAGTTGATTTCCTCTCTGTTCCGTAGCCGACACCACAGCATTACAATACATCTCCATTATGTTGAGTTGTGGGCAATCAGAATTCAAAGAATCTCGAACTCCAGTGGGCGGTGCATTTTACAGTTCTGCCAAACAGACTAAAGACTACAAAGTGAGTTATAAAGGAGAGTAATTGCCGTAGCAGGCTAAGTCATCAACACGTCTTTCAACCGCCCACGGATGTATGGTGTTATTCTGTGCTAAGGGGCAGTAAGAATTTCACTTAACGCTGTTTAAAATGGTGCATTTTACAAGCCGCCGTAGTGTTTCCCCTGGCATAAAAGATAAGTCAGGCTCACAACTGTGTCGGACACAGAGGCTAAGTGTCTGTAAGCAGAATGAGGACATGTGGGTTTATAGAGGTAATGGAAGCAAAAGTGTTTTGTCCCACCTTCTTTGTACCTCTGAAGACTTCCCAGGGCTGTGAGGCGAAACATAACCGATAATGGCTCCACTGTGGGAGAGGCTATCAAAGCACACAGGCGCTGGTGTCGCTGGTAATGAAACCACACTGCCCCTACCAGGTGCTAAAGTTCACCTTCAAGCCTCTGGGCAGCAGGGCTTATTTGTTTTGGTCGGACTCACAGGTTTACTTTGAGGCAGTATTGAGATAAACCAGCCCAAAGAGACGGAAGCAATTTATTAGTGATAAGGAAATGCATTACCTTTTAGATTACAATCATCAAAGTATAAATAAACTAAATAATCAACAATAACATTCAATTATAGGTGGAGATATCCAGCAGCAGTACATTAGTTTAAATTAGCTCCACTTTTATTAGCTGTGATGGACATTAATGCATCAAAAATCATAATCCGGTTATTTATTATAAATGATCCTGAAATGGGCCCTTACACACCAGAAGTACTTTTACTTTTGACACTTAAAGTATATCTTCATGTCAATACTTATGGAGTATGGTTTTGAATGCAGGACTAGAGAATAAAGAGTATTTTTACAATGTAGTATTGCTACTTTTCTGTAAGTAAGAAATCTTCCACAACTGGATGTACATAATGAAAAGCAGATGAGTTACAGGAACATGTATATGCTCCTATGACAATAATATTCTCTTGAAATGTCACAATGATGTCAGTTATCATGGAGGCGGTTTATGTGCATCAGAGAAGATTTCCACTGTAAATTGTGTTTGTGTGCCATTCTGCGCTGAACTGAGTGTGTAAAACTAAACCGACAGTTACCCCTGGATTCACCAACCATGGCAAATCCAAACTGATGGGAAGAAAGCTGAGATGACAGCCAGGCTATATTTAACCCTGCTTGTATTATTGTTCATTTGCCACCGCTCTACCAGCGCTCGCAGCGGCCACACTTATGAACGACATTTTGAAGAAGGAAAATAAATGTTTCTTGGGCATAATGTATTTTTGAATCCCTGACATAAACAAAGATCTAAACACAAATAAATAAAAAACAGCATCTGTGCAAAGCTGCATCAAAAAGTAATGACAGTCTATTTGGCCTTGTTTAAAATGGATATTGCAGTGGGGATGAAAGTGTTTTTGTTAGTTCACGCTGCAGCTGATATGGCTCAGAGCTCATCACTTATCCAGAAACCTGCCTCCAGCCTCCCGGGGGAAATGTATGGACCGCTGATAGTGCGTCGCCTCATAAAACTATGGCCAAGATCCAGGACTCAGATCAGTAACCCTCAGGATAGTGAAGTCGAGCCTCCGCGCTTTATACATCCGTGAGTAAGCGCTGTTGCATCATGAGCGCTGTCACTCATCCATGAGATGGGACAGATTACATCCGTCTGGGATAAGGCGGTTAAATGGGCCGGATATGAGGTACGGCGAGCCTCCAAAATCTCAATAATGCCAAACTCGCATCTGCTGGCCAGAAAGATAAGGAGCAGCGATGAGGAGCCACGGGTGTGTTTTCTTTTCTTAAACCGGAGAAAGGCTATCTTGCATAATCCTATTCATCCGTTGTCTTCAAGCAAAGTCACCAATATGAGAGGATCCTTTACATAAACTGAACATGTTGTTGCAGTCACTGTCGTAGCAATATCTCAGTAAATAGTATACAATGCGATAACACCCTCCAAGAAAGTGCGATTGTCTTGTTTTAAAGATCCCATGTCATGCTTTTCTGGTTATTACCCGTCCCCTTGTGTGTTATGTTGCTTTTTATGCATGTAAACGGTCTGCAGAGTAACAAACCCTCAAAGTACACCCTGTAGGGAGTAAAACTCTAACACAGAAAATACCTGTCTATGCTGCCCCAGAACGCCTCGTTGGAGATTTTAATTTTCCATTTTGGTCTTCCTGGTCACAGTGTTGCAACGACGACCAATCCGTGGAGCTCTTCACACACACACACACACACACACACACACACACACACACACACACACAACACACAACACACACACACACACACACACACACACACACACACACACACACACACACACACACACACACACACACACACACATATACATACACACCACTCATTCAGCCTTATCTTTCCTCAGGCTGTGAGTGTATGTGTGTACTCAGGCTGAGTTCCGTGGTGTCTCACTGTCTCGACCCCACGCAGCAACCAGGAATTGATACCAGTAATCCAGCTCACACTGTCCGCTCCTCGAGGCTCAAAGGGCGGAGCAACGAGCCCCGCAACTTCCCGCCAACACGGCACCCAGACCCCACGCAGCATTCTCATCTGTTTGTCATTACTGGTGTAATTTTCTGGTTGCTAACAAACGCCATTGTAACACATAAACACTGATGTTCCGCTGTAACGGTGGTGGACTCATCAGATCAGAGTGGGCTCATAGGGAGGGGGGGGCAGGAGCTCCAACAAGGCGTGTAGGACAGAGAGTGAATACACATACTATACAGAGATGCTGTATGAGAAACCAATGTGATTTTGGGACATTGAACAATGTAAATCTATTCTAGTAGACCTCAACAATGGAATTATGATCAGTAGAAATGGCCATGTCATGGGACCTTTAATATATATGTTCCCTTATCATACTTAGCACTCACTAGCTCTTCCCTGCATTACAGGACAGATGCTGCTTTGTTTCTATGTCTTCTACATGGATCATTAACTATTGACAATGGTTTGCCTGGGACATGAACCTTTAGTCTCACTCTCATTGGAACATTTCATACCACTATTAAAGATCACTTTTACAACATTCTCATTTTAATATGAGGCTGCCCTTTTTGTAGTGTTAACTTACTAAGCTGGCATTATTTCAGCCAGCAAATGTGGGAGTCTTTGGCTAGAGATATGAAGCCTTGTTTTGTCTACCATTGTCTTCAAGGACCTTTTGTCAGGAAAAGTCGTGAAACCTCAGAGTGGTAAATGTGCCACCATTGAAACCCACAAATGTGACATGCACGAACGGAAAGCTTGACAAGTCAATGTGACGAATGTTCACATTAGACCCTTATTAGCTTTTACTTTTTCTCAGCCTTTGTGCTTGACTTTCTTTAAACCTCTGTGAACTTGATGAGACAGACTTCTGCCTACGCAGGATTACTTTTAAAAAAGAACAAAGGAGGTTCTATTAGCAATGACAGCCACCTGTGGCTGATCAAACAAAGGAAACCCTGGGAAACTTTACTCATGCAGACAATCCAAGGGAGGGAAAACATGACAGCAACTGATTTGTGCAAGTTCAGTGCAGAAACATTACAAAATACGTGTATAGTTTATAACTTAAGTGCAAAGAGTTCTCAAACTAAAACTTTGATCCAAGACAATGATTTCAAGGATAAAGGTATGGAGGTTTCAAGTGTTCATATTTCAGTTTTAAATGTACTAGTTGAGGCTGGAGAACTTCCTCATTTAGAGAGGGTTGGATGTATGGCCTGAGCACACGACCCTCATTCACTATTTTTCCCGCCCCAGCTCTCCAGCCCTTCTCAGCAGGAAAGTAATTATAGACGCCCACTCTGAAAGGATCCTGTTACCTTTTCACTCATGTCCCCTATTTATTCTCTCTGCTTTTCTCCCTCTTACTTTGTGTGTGTTTTTTTCTCTGTATATTCATATTAGATGCCTAAACGTGTCTGGCAGTCTAAAATCACGTCCATATCCCCCTAAATTGAATAAAAGATTAATGGAGCTAAGCTTGTTTTTCTGTTGCTGGAAATCTCATTATGTTCCAGCTAAAAGGGTGATATTTTCCAGTGTGGGCAAAAAGCAAACAAAAATAATCAAAAACAGGAACGTTACTAAGACTTTGTGCATATTGGATCCAAGGACAAATCCAGATGATCAGATCAGCAGTGTTGCAACAACTAATTATAAGCTCTGATTCAAAGTCTTAATCTTTATTCAACCGATGCACAGCTCTAAGGTTCAGTAGTTAGGGGATATTGCCAGCCTAAGGCAGAGGACTACCTCATTAGCAACTTTGAGATTATTAATGTTATTTGTTTTTGTTTTTCTCAAAGCGCTGTGTTAGCTTAAACAATAAATGACACACTAAGTGTTTTGCATTACGCAGCGTCAACACGGCGGCGTGCGTTGAAGCTTGCAGGTGGGCGTGTCTGAAACTCGACCAACAACCAATCAGATGAATCTCCCGCCCCGGACACAAGGGCACGTGGTTTGATTGGCTAGAGCTTGTACTGGCATATGATTTGATTGGCTGACGCTTCCGTCGAAGCTTCAAAAGTTGAACATTGCTCAACTTTTGAAGCGAGCAACGCGTAGCGATGCTCCCACAGTGCAGTACGGTGAAGCGTGACGTCATCCCATTCAAAGTGAATGGGCAGAAGCGTTGAAGCTTCAACGGACGCCGCCGTGTGGACGGGCCGCTAGTTTTCCCCCTGTAGTTGGTATAGCTGCCATGATTGTGGGCCGAGATCATTTTACGTCATAAGGCAGCCTTCGCATGTGGAACCATTTAAAATGTGGTCAACATTGTTCACACTGCAAACCACAGCCAATGTTTTTGTGTTCATTTATCGCATTTAAATTGATTTATTCGTGATGAGAAAAGTCAGTTTTTGCTGTTTCCCTCACAACTAAGCTGTAAAATAGTGTTGATTAGCTCAAGATATGATGAGCATAAAGTGTGAAAAACACAAATGGTATTGTCTGTGAGGGGAAATGGAAGCAAGCATAGGTGATATAAGAAATCAGCCATGCTTGTCTATTAATGCCTTGGTTACAGAAACCTGTTTTCTTGTATACTTGAAGAAATCAAACCACTGCATAAAGTTGGAGGTAAAGTTGACACGTTGCACTTAACCAGCTTAGTTTTGAGTCGTGACATGTCACCTTAAGGCAGGATTGTCACGCAACCCGCAAGGACTGGTGATTGAATAAGTAGGTGATTGATTTCTCACTTTCAGCAGCAAACGTTGTATTCAATGGGGAAAGAAATGAATGAATAAGAAGATTGCGTGTTTTTTTAATCACAGTTATCATTGAATCCTCATGAATGCCTCTGAAAATGATTGGAACGTATTACATTCTTCTACTGTCCATATCTCAGATTGATAAGGATCTCTTTGATTTTAAAAGCCTTACCTAGTCCCTTTTTAAATGGTCCGATTAAAGCGTGTTTTTCTCTATTTGAAAAGTTGATTGCTGCTCTTGTGGAGTTTTCCCTCTGAGCCCGGAACAAAGACACTAACTATCCTCTTCTCCAATTTAGTTCTGATGACAATTTGGAGGATGTAAACAAATCAGCAGGAGTAGTGTAACGTCATAAACGAAAGCAATTGGCGATTTGCTGTTCCCCCCAACACACACTCAACTGATTGCAACAGAGTGGATGAGGATGAAGCGGAGCACTTGTGGGCTACTTGAGATGGCATTCGGACAGACGAAAATGAGCCTCTTGAATTGGGAAGGTTAACTGAGTGATGTAAACACAGGCCTCTCATCGTGGCCATGCTCTATTTATAACAACTCCCTGTTTATAAATCCAACATTTTCTCGCTGAAGGTTTTTAATCAATATGTTTTATATAAAAACGATGGATAACATGTCGATAAAAGAGGCGATCTCAGAGAATACAGCAGCCAGCAAATACCTCTGATAAATCCACTTTACACTACCTGGCCAACACCAAATGGCAGACAGACAAAGCTAACAACTAGATTCTGAACATAGTGGAGCACTTAGCAGCTAAACAAATACACAGGAGTCGGTGGAGACCAAAAACCGAGCTTAAAGCACAGCGAATATTGGAATGAATCAGGAAACACAACTTCAAATGAAAGGTAATGTTGCTGTGTGTCTACTGGTTGTGTAAATGAGCAACTGTTAGCAAAAGTGTTGGCTTATTCCACTTCCCTCGCCCCAAAAAGTTAATGCTGGATTTATGGTTATGATCTCGTATAGGACAGACTAATACATAGTATAGTAATACATAGATACATAGTGTCTCAAAACGTTTTTTAAAATATAAACAAATATAAATTCCTTTTTAACTTTGTATTCTCAGATCCATATGTGAAGATCCACCTGATGCAAAATGGCAAGAGGCTGAAGAAGAAGAAGACGACAATCAAGAAGAACACCCTCAACCCTTACTACAACGAGTCCTTCAGCTTTGAAGTCCCATTTGAACAAATCCAGGTGCGTTCTCCTCCATTTGCAGAGCAGTTTCTAACAACTATAGCTATGTAATGTGCTCTACTGTTTAGATGAATGCTGCTGTTAGAACTAGCAAACATTTGTCTGCAAAGAAACAATTGATAAGTGGAAGCTCATTTACCAAATAATTAGTTAAGAGGCTTTTCATCATTACAGAATAATCAAAGCCACTTTAGTCTAAATCAGCTGCAATTTGAAAGGCAATTGCTCACGGGCATTATTTTCTGCACACGTTATTGCCTCTTGCACGTTATTCAGAAATATTTGTTGCATGTCTTAAATGTGCTAAATGTACATTTCTTATCTTACCAGGTTGATCATTTAACAATGTTAGTGCCACAGATTGAATCATAAACTTGTGTATTGAACCTGATTCAAGCGCTTATTTTTAATTACAGACTTGCTCCTATAATATAACCTTTTTCCTGATGTGAATATAAATACAGTTTAATTTGATCAACTTATCAGGCAGATTTGTTCCATCTTGTAAAACAAGTTATACAGACTGCTTGAATAAAGCTGCAATCTAACCACCATTATCTGCAGAGGGGGAGTGTGGAGTGACCTTGGGACTATTTTCAGCAATTAATCTAAAGGTTTTAATTGTCTTGTAGCTTGTGTGGGAATTGCACACAGTTCTTTTAATTGGTTTATTTCACTAACAGAAGATTTGTTATTGAGCGAAGACCATCTTAGTACACACACAATTAGCTCTGCATCACTCAGTAACAATATTCGGATTCATTTGTTTTGATCTATAGCTTCTAACATACTAACTTTTTCCCCATAAAGACAAATATAGTGTGAAACTGTGTCTCTAACGATTTTTCAGATGTTCTTAGATGCAATACAAATACATTTGAATATACAACAGTTAATTATAATACACATTTTACAAGCCAAAGCACAATGCTTAAATAGTGCAGAAAATACATTCAGAAACATTGCAATATATGTTTTTATTGTTATATATACTTTGCCCAGGAAAGGACATGGAGGAGGAGAAAAGATAAATGTTAGTGGATGAGGAACCACAAAAGTCTTGTTAGGTAGCGCAAATGTTTTTGGGAGAATGTAAGAATTTATCAGTTTTTTTCGTCCACCTACTTTTTGTTATACCTTCAAACTTCAAACCCTCACTTTGAAACTCGATAGATGGATAAACTGCTATTTATTACATTCGATTGTTGATATCAATCTGCTCATTTCACTCTGGGATAGAAAACTAATTAGCTTATTTCCTCAAATATTAAGCTCTTGATGAATTGAATGTCTGTTCATGATCTCATTTTGGTTGGTTAATCAATCAAAGCAAGTGGAATATCCTGACTGGTCTGTGATGACTAACAAAGGAGCCTGCTAATTCCCAATCAAAGAGGGCTTTGATTCAATTAGCTATTTGAAGATCAACTGCCCCTTTTAAAGACCAACTAACCCCAAGCAGCCATCTGGGAACCTTGTTCAGTATTTCATTTCATGGCGTATTAGGCATGCTCTTTTCCAACAGTGGCTCTGAGCTCGTGCAGGTGGCAGTATCCCTTTCAGTGTAGCGCTGGATCGAAACGTAATCAGAGCTCTTTGTGCACTAAATCATATTCAGTGCCAGAGATGGATTCCCAGGTCCCTCCCCTTTGAGTCCCTGTGAATAAACACATGCCGAGGCTGCGTCCCAGACCTCTGAGTAATCAAACATTCTGCTGTGTTTGGCTCCTGCTCTGAAGCCTCAGTTACTGTTAAGGAGCACTTCATTTACTGCATTACTCTACTATTGGTGTATACATTGTTTAGTGTATCATAACTTTTAGATACACAGATCAAACCACTAAGGATTTAGTAGATCTTTCTCGGGATTTTTGTCCGAATCATGTCTTATCTTGCAATCTACTTATTTATCTAAATAGTTATCACCGCAATAAACCGTATTTGATTTCGTCTTAGTGTACAACATTTAATTTAATATTCTGTTCTTGTATATATCATATTCTATTTACATGTATATAGACTTCTTGCACTATTTTGTATTAGTATTTTATTATGTTCCATGGTTGGACGAGCTCGGGTCATAGGATTGTCATTGCCATTTCTACACTGTAGCTTATGTGCATATGACATTAAAACCTTTGAATCTTGGAATGGTGCATATCTAATAGAAATAATATAATTCCTAGAGCATTATAATAAGCAAAAAGTTACTAAGTGTTTACAATACTACATAAAAGGAGAAATAAGAGACACATTTACAAGATCAAACACACACACATCTTCAAACAGGCAGTAAGGACTTAAAGGTCACCTATTGTGCAAAATCCTCTTTTTCATGTCTTTTATACATAAACATGTGTCCCCTCCTTTTTGTCATGATCCATTTATATAAAAATCGGTCTGAAAATGAGCTGATCAGATTTTTGCCACTTTATGATGTCATAAAGTGGCCACCTTATCACCTGAATCCCCTCCTAGAGCACCATTGTGTTCTTTTTAACCAATCATCTCACAGAGGGGGCGTGGCGAGTGGCTCCTTATTTTCATCTAAAGTAACAGACAGAGAATCAGCACTTTCGAAACAGGGCTGAAACAGAGGGGATTATGGGATGCTACAATGATCTGTTTGGTGTTTGGAGCCAAAGACTTCAGAGACATGTATTGTATATATCTGAGACCTATAATATATTGATGAAACACAGTATAATAGGGGACCTTTAAGAAAAGGATGCCGATATCAGTCCATATGCTGATGACACCTCGATATATGCTTACATTCCCTCATCTCTCCCACTCTTCCTTTTCCCACAGAAAGTGCAAGTTGTTATAACTGTTCTGGACTATGACAAGATCGGCAAGAACGATGCCATCGGGAAGGTGTTTGTGGGCCTGAACAGCTCGGGGACGGAGCTGCGCCACTGGTCCGACATGCTGGCCAACCCCCGGAGACCCATCGCCCAGTGGCACGTGCTGAAGGTGGAGGAGGAGGTGGACGCCCAGCTCTCCACCAAGAAATAGGCAGGGCCCTTTCAGCACCTGCCTTGTAGTACTCTATAGCCTGTATGTGTAAATACCTCAGTGATATATGGGTCCATCCCCCCCCCACCTCTCTGCTTTACCAATATCAAACACAATCCTAGTTGTTCAATCATCCCTCCCTCTGCTTTTTTTCTATCAGGTACTTTTCTCACGTTCTCTTGTTTTCTGTTCCTCTCTGATCAGCAGTTTTCCATCTCCACGCCCTTTTTTCTGCCCCAACCAAACGCCCCCTTCTTTTAAGCAATATGATCTGTATAGATAGCGCATGACTGAAAGAATTTATTGTACCACAGTTGTATATATAAGTATGCAGACAAAAATGATTTCTAGTTTATGTGTTTGTATGTTGTTACCCGTTTCCTAATCTGTGTATATCTTGATGTTTTTAATAAGATGTTCTATTTTAAATTATGTAAATTCAGATATAGAGGAAAGCCAATATTATATATCCCAGGATTTAAAAATGCTACCTTATTACCTTATTGCATTCCAGAAAAAAAAAGAAGAATTACAACCTGCAACACACTAGTGGAAATATATTCACACTGTAAAGGAAAATGTCTGGCTTTAAGTTCAGCAAAGGATCAGAGAAGACATGAATATATACATACTAAACTCCAAATACAAGGCCATTAACTACTATGGTTCTGAGGGGGGAATGATGCTGCTGGAACTAATACAAGCACATGATTTCTTACACATTTTGTACTTATTTCTCAATCAGAGGACCTATATGTTTAGCTTGATGCACAATGATTCCAGAAAAAATTGTTAATGCAAACCAGTAAGCATTGATTTCTCCATAAATGGCAATTTAAGTGAAACAGGTCCTAGTTTAAAAGGCAGTTGCGCACTAAAACTGACTTTTTTTCTTTTCCAAAAATGGAAAATGTTGCCTCCAAAAAAGAAAACAAATTCCCTTCAACCCATAAAAAAGACCCCAAGTGAAAAAAGCACCAAGCTGTAGCCATTGTGTCCTTAAGCTCGTTCAACAATATTTTGTTAACTGTTTACTTTGAACAGCCTTGTAGTTGTTGAGGGTAAATCGCATTGAGGCTGGACCGTAGACAAGGAGTTGTGACTCTGGTTTAAAGAGGAATCTTTTTTAGAGCAATTCAACGTCTTGACTATTTTTCGTAAACTGCATGATTTTTTTAACAACCTTTACTAAAGGCTGGGAGGGGGAGATCTACTGACACCAGGGGCTGTCTCTTCTGATACGATCCCCTTGCCTTCAATCAGAAGAGGAAAGGAAAAAGAAGAGCGATGTGTAAACATTGGGTCAATGTACATGGGTATATTGACCGAGACGAGTTTCTAAACACTGCCATTTCAGAGGTGACTTATGTAAAGACCCTCTCTTCATGCACACTCCCACGCTAGTGGTTGTAGCTTTCGGGAACAATGTCTTTGGCTGCAATGGTGCCCTGAATCGCAGTCTTAGCTTTGCGTTGCCTTCTCACAGTGACAATAGAGCTAGCCATGTTTTACTGCCAATTTTAACTTTATGTGGCTGGTGTTTTGCACTGGATGTCTTTGACCTAGATTGTTTACTTCAGTTTATGGACAGTTGTTGGGCTGGGTTTATTTCAGGACACCTACAGGGGGCGGAAGAACTCTGCCTGCTCGATCGGCTTAAAAAAGCAATGATGACAAATCACGGTTCAGCCAACAGTAGTGTTTACTTATTGTTGGCACAGGAATACATCAAGAGAATGAGAAATAACCGTAAAGTGAATGGTCTGCGTGGGCTATTAGTCCATCATGTTCTTTACTCGGGTCCAATTAGCAAAGGAATACGTTTTACTCCATGAAAACCATGAAGTCTCTTATCTTGGAGGAACCTCTTGCATATACTTCAGCTTCAGGAGGACTTTCTAAATGTTTTCAATGTTACTGTGTAGTTGATAGCACTATTATGAAAAAGCTACTTGTCATTCCCTAGGAGTCTCTGAGGACTGCTTTGTGTATCACTGTGACTGCCGTGTGTGCTTAGAGATGTAGACTTATCAGTAGGTAGCCAAACCAGTTTGTTCTGTAGTGATGTCGTAGCGTTTAATGCCATTTTCCCTTCTACGTGCAGAGAAAGAGAGTGCAGTGCGTGCGCGAGGCGTTGTCCGACTGCACGTGTCAGAAAGAGCGGGAAGAAATTTTATCTGAGCAGGTCGCTTCACACAGCATTTTGTTGAGCACTGTGCAATACTTGTATGTTCATCCCATAGTGTTAACGTGGGTGGCGTTGCCCGAGAAAAAAGATTCTAACCCCTGAGGATGATTCTAGTCCAGAGAGATGTTTCTCCTTTCCAGTGAAATGGTTAGGACACAGCACAGCTTTCAGCTTACAGGTTGGAGCTTGACACCTGTCGACCTCGGTTTAGGGTTTCCGCCCTTTTTCGCAGGTTCGTTTTCTCTTCATGCACACAGTTCCAGCATCAGAAGTTTCAGGGAGTATTAGTTAAATACCAAACGAGATTCTACATTTAGACATCCCCTTCAAATGCCATGTATATATTTACATAAGCGTGTCAAAAATTGTATATCTAGAATTAATATAAAGTGACATGAATATGATCATTCAGCCGCAGATATCATTTTACCCATCCATCATGCATTAACTATATCTCGTCATTTTCCATATTTATTTTTTAATTGTTTAATGCCCTGTTGATTAAAAAAAAAAAACTTTTATATTTGAGATGAAAACTGAATGTACAGTATGGACTGTGTTGGCGTAGATTACTTTAACAGTGAGATTAGATGTACTTTGCACTTTCTGTTGAAAGAAAAAGTCACTTTGTTTATATTTTTTAACTATTAGGAATTTAATTCATAACCCTTTGTGGGTAAAATCTCCCCTGTCTGATTGCATTCCAAAATCATTGAATATACTTCAATACAGCTGCATTCCCAATTTATCTTCATCCAAGGGATTATTTTATTGGACATGTTTGACATATGTAGATTCATGAATTCCAGTACAGCTTCAGATTTAAATGAAAAAAAAGGATTAAAGTACAAGGTAAAGGCTCTTTAAATATGACCAAACCAATCGGATATTAATTCAAAAAGGTTGTACTGACGGAATAATCCGATGAAAGCTGAAAGAAAATCTGAATTGAAACAGAAATAAACATGTGTAAACATATCAGGGAATTCAGTCGCGGGCAGCATTGCAGAAACCATCAGATTTCGAGGTGTGTGGAAATACCTGCAATGCTCCTGTTATTGCAATTTCCTACCAAAGTATGCATGAATAATCAAACCCTAAATTCTCTTGTAAAAAATTCCCTTATCAAGAACTCAAGATTCTCTCCAGTGGCACTGATGAAAAGCCACACTGACCTTTCAAAACAAAGCTGTGTAAAGTATTAGAATCTGATGCTGTTGAAAGATCCTAGTTGCCTTTGTGTATATCAACTGCCTGCTTGAGTATTTTGTGCGTGGACATTTTCTCTGTAATCTTGTAGAACTGTTTGGAGTGTTTTTTCCTGCCATATCGCTCGCGGTGACTGCGAGCCGCTGACAGTTATATTTGCTGTGTATACCTTCATTTTTGAGGTGTTTTACAGTTTTGTTTCACTTTGTGTAGTGATTCACTCTGTGGAGTTTTCTGACTGTTGTTATATGACTTCATATACACAAATGATCAATAAAAATGTTTTATTTCCTGTTGATACAGAAGCTTATCATGTCATATTTTCAAAGCATTCATTTGTGTGTCATAAGATACTGTGACAGCCTCTGATTGTAGATTTGATTTGCAGAACAAGTAAGTGTGAGTCACTTCTACCGCTAACTTCAGTCACATCAAATAAAAGTGCCTGCATGACAAATTCCCTTTTAATGCGGATGTTTGCTTCTAAACACTTTGACTTGGCTTTAGTTTAAATCCTCGGGACCTGTTCACAAGTCGCTACTGCCATCTAAAGGATGTAATGGAGCATACCACACATTGGCAAGACAATATATTAAACAGATTGTTTTCCATGTTGCTCTGGGCACAGATCAATTCATATGAGTGAATATTCACTGACATCTGCTACAGCCAGCGAACAACGTTTGTCCTTCCACCATATACATTGCGCCACATCGATGTGTATTAAAGTTGAGATCAAATTTGATGATAAGCGCACCCGGAGGATGTAGATTTATATATGTTATGCTGTTGCTGTAAAATACGGTGAATTTAGCTGTTCCAGCAAAACATCTCATTAAATTATCGTAGCTTAAAAACATATTATTTCACACACACACACACACACACACACACACACACACACACACACACACACACACACACACACACACACACATACTGTAGGCCTACACACAACCAAGGGTGTAACTTTGGTTTGAGAAGTGGGGGGGACACAAAACAGGGGGTCCTCCGCAATGAAACATTGTTCTCGATTTAATTCCATTTCCTGCCTTTCTACAGATATATTAGGGACTATGGTGTTAACTAATACAAGAAAAATGTGTAGTGTATATAATGAGTGCGCAAACTAATCTAGTATCCTATCCATGTGAACCTGTTTTATTTGTGATGACCTCACATACGCTAGGGGGGCATGCACCCCCGGGAAGATTTTTTTCTTTAAATTGAAGTTAAAGGCATCAATCTGGTGCACAAATTAAGAGATTTATGGATACAGCTCTCAACACTCATAGGAAAGAGAACTGTATATATTTAAATATTCCAAAAACCATATGCTCACAACCAATAACACATAATTGATATACTCCTCTCTCCTATCTTTATCTTACCTAGTCTGCATTCTTTCTTTTTTTTATGCATGTATTACTGATCACTCCCCTTTTAAACTGTGTTTTTTTATTTTTTACTGACCTATATTTGAATGATTTCTTAACTTATTTTTTACAACTATACTAGATGGACATATTTGTTTACAAAGAAGACCAAACCGTTTAAGACCCACCGAGATCATTTAGACTAAAGTTTACAATCTAATCGCTCAGAGAGTCCTTTACCTCACCTAAACTGACGTTATCTCAGCCTCTCAGTCCGACAGGAGAGAGCTCTCCCTCTCCTTATTGTTGAAACAGCTTCTAATCTCCGTTAGCTCCGAGCTAGCATCAGATGCTAACAACAACCCCCGTAACTCTCTCTGTCTGTCTGTCTCTCTCTCTCTCTCTCTCTCTCTCACACACACAAAATGCGCTCGTGCCACGCACACACAGACGCTCCTCCGTGACGATGACCGCTTGCGCCAAAAAATAATAATAAACACATTTGAAAAGTGGGGGGGGACACAAACGGGATTTTGAAAATAACTTTTCAAAATTACGCCCATGCACACAACCACAAATATATTCTTCAGAGGGTTTTTATTGAAGCTATGTGTGGTGTACAATAGTATATTAAAACCCAAGACTCAATAAGTTGTTATGGCTGACAGTTGTTTTTGTGCCAACATTCAAATAGGCTTATCAAAGCTGCTTGACTATAATTGGGCTCCAGTTTTATGGAATGTCCAAAGTGATTTGGGGCCCATGTATAAAACTGTCCCTAATGTTTGGCCCCGTAAAATTCCCCACACACTTCTCCCTTTATTCTGATACGTAACGGTTAGAGGTTTTATTTAAGCTTTATTTTGAAAATACAGGCCTGTCATGTGGAAATGACGTCCAGCTTCAGTTTTGCCAAATTAACCGTTTTCATACCGGAAGTTCTGATTTGTCACTAGAAAAATGTAAAGACCTTAATGTTTCAGAGATAATAAACAAATAAAAAAGTATCTACTTTGTAATTTAATATATATATATATATATAAAAATATAACACATCGTTTTTTGCTAAAAACGATGTGTTAAGTGTTTTTGTTTTAAAATAATGAAGCATTATTTTCCGAAAAGATTCTTTTATTTTCTAAATAGTGACCGGAAGTGTGTATTGGCGCCAGCTTACTTTATAGTTTGACAGCTCGTACTTGCTACGCACCGTCGTGACAGTAGCTGTAAACTCAATTGCTGCTGCTTTCTGCATTGACAAACAAACCGTTGCATTTACCAAAACTGCCTGAAAATGCTGTCCTACATCATTGGTGTAAGTATATCTTAATAAGAAGTAGCTAGGTTTATTGTACTTTAACTAATTATGTTGCATTAGCTCAAGCTAACGGGAGCTGCCAGTTAGTTTTCCTGACCAAGTTAAGTTAGAGGCTGGGGCTGCTCTGCCCACAGGAATTTCTATGACTCATTTCTCCTGTTTTGGATTAAACAAATTGGCTTGGCTTAACTAAGACAACGCCCCAAAGATATATTAAACATGTGATAGCTTCTGCTAGCTGCTGGTGGTCCGAGCTGAGTCACTCTCCTAATTTCTGACCTTTGTCACAGTTGATCCGAGGCGGATTTGACAGCATCGTCAACTTAATCTTCAGACTCCTGTTCAGGAAGAGTAGACCCGCCCTCACCTTAGAGGACCCCAACATTAAGTATGCACTGCGGCTGCTGGACAAACAGGTAACCCGTCTGAATATCACCTTCACAAAACCTGAACTCTTTTTATTTACAAAATCCAACGTTTTTCTGTTTACAAACGCAGCCGGTGTTGCTCTGACATGCTTTTTGTTTCTTCTGCAGATTGTCAGCCATGACACCAGAAAGTTCCGCTTTGCCCTGCCTTCCTCTGAACACATCCTGGGTCTTCCCATCGGTTAGTAACTATTGACTTAGCTTGTCTCTCCACCCAGCAGCAGGCTAACCAGCTTCCCCAGGTTAGCTTCACCGGGTGACTAGCAACACATGCCTGACTATCTTAAGACAAACTCAGACCAGCTAAGACCAGCAACCATGTAACATTTATGAAAATAAAATGTATAGGAACACAGACAGACATAATGGCAAGGAGTTTAATTCCTATCACATCACAAATAGGTTCAGTAGGAAGAAGGTAAGGTAGGAAGAGAGGAAAGGCAAAATGCTAAGAAAAAAAGAGCTTCACATACATTCTCATTTTGTAACTTAACTTGAAGGTCAGCTATTGTGCAACATCAAATTGTTCATGTCTGTTATACATAAACATGTGTCCCCTCTGTGTAAAGAGATTATGAAAGTTTCAGGAACAAAGATTCTCTCACTTTTTGTCCTGATCCATTTATATAAAAACCTGTCTGAAAATGAGCTGATCAGATTTTGGCCACTTTATTATGTCATATCGTTTTTTGGCTTGTGTAACCATTAGCCAATCACCAACCAAGGTACCCCCCTGAATCTCCTCCT